TCTTTGAGTTTCATTTGTAATAATGAATATCTTAAAAGTTGTAAAAATTCTTGAATGTGTAATAGTGAGCTAGCTCATCTAAGAATTTCATACCTCATAATCATTTGCACTTTTATTTCATAGCAATCATTGACAAATATGATTACAGAATTTGAACTTGACATTACATGGATCCATGATCCATCATATGATATCTAAGTAGTATAATTAAGGTGGTAATTATTAGATAAGTAGTTGAGTGGGACTTGCTCCCAACTTGACTTGAGCTCCAAAACCAAAACCATATATTTAAAGCAACTCGATCATATTAACTGTGTCAATTGATCTCCATCCACAAATATTGGTGGGTTGAATTTCAAGGCCAATCTTTGAATCTATTACTATGATCAATATACACCAGTTATCCATATGATCATATGGCAGCACAAATCTTGACAAATTATGGCTACAATTTAGTTTCAAAATTACATAATTACGCTTGCCATTTTGGTGGGAAAAACTTTTAAGGCCTTCTTTAGTAGGAAAACTTTTAGACTCTTAAGAAGTCATAGTCAATATTATATCTTATGTATATATTTGTCAAAACCAGGTTGGAAAAAATGGGTTGACAAGATTGAAGCAATTAGTTATGTAATGCCCAACATTAAACGATTTGACCTTTGTGTATGCATCACTACTAGTGTGGATTTTGGTTTTGTTCTTAATCTTATTGGTGGCCTTCTGCAGCAGTGGCGGATCCACATAGGGGCAAGGGGGGTCAATTGACCCTTGCAAACCCATAATCCACCATAGGAGTACAAGAACTTGACCCCTGTAAATTGCCCAGAAGGTGTTTGATGAAATGCCCCAAAGAGGAAGCACCCACACCCCACAGCCAGAGGAGAGAACCTTGCTGTGCGTGAGTACAGCGCTCAACGCTTTGTTTGTTTTTTTCCTGCCGTCGAAACGATGTCGTTCCACTTAAGTGTTTTTTTTTAAACCTGGCCAAAACGACTTAGTTTTGGCTCAGGTGTTTTTTTTAAAAAAAATTCTCTTCTACTGCTTGATAAAATAGAGGGGGAATGGGATTTTAACAAAATTCTCTCATTCAAACAGAGGAGGGAATGTATATAGAAAGTTATGGAATGATACAAATTTCCTTTTACTTTCATTTATTTTTATATTACTCAATTTACTTAAGTTTACAATGTAAATAAGGAAGTACCCCCTATTTGGATTCAAATAAAAATACTAGAAAATCAAATTCTCACCAAATCAAAATATGAAAAATCGGTTTTAGTACAAGATACGATTTAGGCTAAAAATGATGGCTCATTAAGTCAATATATACATCATACTAAAATCCCATAAAATCAAGTTTTTCTTATTTTATGTGTAAGGAATAAAAGCCGCCAAAAATTATATTGAGAAAATGATTATTCCAAAAAACCATTTTTCATACTTAGCCAATATTTAGCCTTGCTTGTAGGACCTGCACCAACCCTACATAGTATGCTCTGGCAATTTCGAGAAGAAAAGCCTATTAAGTGGGTTGAGATGGAAAGCCATAAAACATGGGTGTGTAGCTCATGGTGGAAAGTAGGAAAACACGGAGCGAAAAACACAAAGCAGAAAACACAGAGTGGAAATGACGGAGGCGGAAAGGAAACAAGGGGAGAAAAAAAATCATGATTTGTAATTAATGTAGTCCCCTGTTTGCGCTTTTTTTTTTTTTAAATGTGAAATAAATATTTTCGTCATTTTTTTTCTTTTTTCTTTTTTCTTTTTTTCTTTTTTTCTTTTAATTATAACGACACAAATTAATGTGCTAATCACCCAACTATAAATACTCGCAAGTGTATGTTTGAAAAGATTGTTTTGAGTCTTGTTTTAGTTATAGTTTTGTTCGAGGACTAGGAAAATATTGACCCCTGGAATGAAAATTCATGAATCCGTCACTGCTTGTGCATAGCCTCTACATAAGTGGTTTTTCTCCGGTGCTTAGATGCATTAAGTGCGAATGCAAACATTAGTAAATATTTAGAGTGGTAGTTAGGGGAGGCCCTAAGCATAGACGGGTAAGATGGTCGCCTAGGGGCTCCAAATTGGGAATTTGGGAGGGCCCCAATTTTGATAAACCTTTATATATATATATATATATATATGTTACTGTAAAAAACAATATACTATATTGATATTATATTAAGCCCAAATATTGTTTTAAAGAAAGTCTAATTATTTACTCTAAAATTAAAAAGAGGAAACTCAATAAAGGAGTTTTTTTTTATTTTTTATTTTATATAGTAACCAGGAAATGAATTAAAAAAGAAGTAAAGTATTTATGGCTCTCCAAATTATGGAGTATGGTTGGAGTTGAAATTTTTTAGAGAGCTCCTAAAAAAAAACTAAAACTAAAATCTAGCAGCATAAAGGAAATTATGGTATGCTCGACAAAAGAAGAAAAAAAGCAGTTTATTAAATATCTTCCGCCAGAGGGAGCGCTCTTGGAGGATGAACAAGAAGGTAAAAACCCACAAGACTATTGCTTATATTTTCTATTGAGAAAGACATGGTAGAAACACTTGGTTATGCAAAGTGAAGTGATACTTTTGCATTGAAAGAGTCAAGACGAGTGATATTTAAGTGATGTTTTGATGCATTGTATAAAGTTATTATATGGATTACATTTTGTTTTGTTTCTTTTTAGGTTACAATTGTGACTTTGAGTTCTATTTTTTCTTTTTAACTAATAAAAAAAAATCACATAAATATACATAAAAGGTAGAAGGCCAAAACCTTAGGACCGCCACTGGTGGTAGTTTGGAATGGCATTGTACCAAGCTAACTACTACTCCGGATGAACAATGTACTAGTTAGACGATGTGAGGCATGAGTGTGGTTGAAAATGTTAGGTCTAACCTGCCTAAGCTAACTTGTCCACTGAACAAAAGATGCTATACTTGTTGGTTGGTATAGAATAGGCAGGTAAAAGTCAATTTTTGTTTTTTTGGGATTGTTGTAAGAAGTAATTTATGAATGTGCGTTGAAATCTGGTTTTTGAAATAATTTCGATTGATTGGAATCAGTCTCCCTGAAGTGAAGTTGGGTTTTGATATTGGCTTTGTGCTGCACTCTATTTTCCACTCTAGTGGAAAATGGCATCTTCCCATTTTTTGCAATATCTATCTGACTGACTCTGTGCATTTGCAGGCATGAATTAATCCAGTCGATTAGGTAGTGCGCCCATCTCTTTACCCTCGAATTTAGTTCAACTTTAAGACATCATTTTGTCAAATAAATAATCAAATTGATCAGCTTTCATTTTATACGTATTGCCAGCTTCCAAACGGGGCTGCTCCAAGATGAAACTTTTGGGCCAACCTTGATGAAATGAAGGTATAGGTTTCCCAATCTTGGGCCACAACATAGAGTATAAAAGTCCAATACAACTAATGGGTAAGGATAAGTGAGCCGGAATTGTAAAATGGGTGAAATTTTTAGGTGTAACCATCAACGTTATCACATTATGCTATAATACAAGTAGATTGATAATACTACGTGACGATGTGACTATCGCGCTAAAGAATTACTCATAAAAGGGGTAACCAATTTTTCAATACTTTGGATAAGACCGGTTATATTGGTACTTTAACCGACATCCATGCATAAATGGGTGAGGGTCGAGTTCGTCCGGGAGGTGAGGCCGCTTCGGCCGTTATTAAAGACTGAGGACCTTGCCGATCTCCACACTGGAAGCTATGCCCTTTATGTTTATTGATTATTTTACAATTTCTTAAATTTTAAATAGATTATAAATAAAATAAAACTAATTCTTAAGATTGGGGTTTTGTGATCAGTGGCGGGGCTATGCAAAGGGCAGGCTGGGTGCCTGCCCAGCCCAAAATTATCTTCTCCTCTCGTTTTGTCACCAACAAGGTATTATTCTAACTCTCCTTTGCTATATATCTTTAATTATAGTTTTAATTTAAAATTGAGTATTCTAGGGTTTAATTAGGGATGAATTATAATTTTGAGAATTTGTTGAAATCAATTAGGGCTTTGATTAGAAATGAATTATTCTAAAGCTTTGATTTGAGATTTTGTTAAAATTGAGTATTCTAGGGTTTAATTATGGATGAATTATAATTATTGGTTTGGTTTTGTTGAGGGTAAAGCTCATTATGTCGTCCATGACTAGGTGTATCTTTTGATGTTTATTAATGAAATTCACTCATACCGTTGAGTTTAGTATGTAAGTCTTGCCCAACTGACTTTTTGATCCTGGAACCGCCACTGTTTGTGATACTTCCAATTTAGTTGGGTGTAGTGAGCAAATAATGTATTTTCAAAATTGCGAGTAATTGATCACACCAGACGCCCAGACCCAAAGCACCAAAAACAAATAGCTGGGCCAACTCCAATTCAATCCAACATAGGGCTTTCCAAACCCACGTGGCATCTTCAGGCTGAACCAAACAAAGAAAAAACAAAAAAAAAAAAATCTTTCTATGGCCACGTCAACAAAGACAGTAAAGCCATCTCCAACCCATGAGGTTAAACTCAAAATATCCCTAATTATAGCCCAAAATCTCTCCCAACCCAAGAAAATGAAGAGGCCAAAATTTGAGAAAACCCAAACTTGGGGCCCATATATCAGTCCAAGTATTGCCCAAACTCAAAATTATTCATGGAGCCCACCTGCATCTGAAACAACCCCCATGTAAAAAGATTCTGACGTGGCCCCAGCTTTGTTTTGCTGCTGCTTTTTGGCAGCTTGTTGCGCCACTTGTGCTCTCCTGTGAAGTTACCGTTGGAATCCAATGGCAACAATTGAATTCGTTTTGTTTTTTGGTATTCTAAATGCTACTTAAATTAACGATCTATATTAAATCTAAGCTATTTTAATAATTTAAAAAAAAATTCCATTGGCTGAAATTTAAATCCAAATCATCACCTGATATTTTCATTCATACCTAATAAATAAATAATAGTAATAATGGCATTGAATCGAAGCTTCTGACATGAATCTCTCGTGGTCCTCGTCTGCTTCTTCGACCGGTTCTCAGTCCTCGTCTATTTTGGAGAATTAGTTTGGGCCGAAAAGGCATCCCCAATTGGATAGATTTTGGGCTCTAAATGCTAAAGACCCGCTGGAGCTATCCTCAATAAGGATTTTGGGCTCTTTCTACCCGCTTTTTTTTTTCTTCAAATAAAAGTCTTTTTTTTCGGGGAAATAAATAGCTAGTTTTTTTTCTTCACTCTAATCACTTAAAAAATATATATATAAAAATCTTGTCCAAATTTTGATTCTGACTTTTTTTTGAAATGATCACACAAAAAAACTAACATAACATAAACATACATTAAAACAAAATAAATTTAAAAAAAAAACACATAAATCAAATTTCATCATTAAGAAAAATTTAGATATAGAGCCTTCCATTATAGAAGAGATATCCCCAAAGAAGACAACGATGCCACGGACGGATTCACTCCCAATCCCAAAGAAGAAAAAAGAAACAAGCTAAAAACCCAAAAGAACTAATAACTGCAGCCTGCCACGTGGCATCATGTCAAATGGAGATTTATGTATGTGGGCCAGGGCCCACTGCGCACTTCCTCTATGTAGGAGCTTGGGTTTTGCCACGAGTTTTTCCCATGCTTGATCGGCCTCCACGTGGTGCTTGAAGAAAATTTGTGTGGCGTCGATCGAGGCGGTGCATGTTCCAGTTCTGTCGGCTCTGCAGGCGACGGATCTTTTGCAATTGGCAAGCGCTTTCTTTAATTTTAGAAATAGCCGCTCGGGTTTCGTCATCTTCAGTTCTCCTGACCTTATCCAGCAAACCCACCGTCCGATCGATGTAGGAATTCGAACCACCGGCGATGAAGATCGATTGGATGTGCTTGAAATCATTGGCCGTGAAGTTTGAGTTTGGATCGATTTCGCTTAGCAAGTGGTGAGGTATGCCTCTACACTCCTCTTCAGGGACTTTGTCCAGGCCTTTGTAGACTTTCATTTGGTCAGAGTTTATAATCTCAGCAACAGGGAAACGGGCTGCGAGGTCCATGGAAAGCCTGGACTTGCCAGTCCCGGTGGCTCCCATTATAACAATAACCTTATCTTTTCGCCGGAAAAATGGATCCATGTTGATGCTGTTCAGGTTGACCCGAGAAGAAAAAGAAAAGAGAAAAACACATGTAGGATTTCAATTTTGCGGAAAATTACACATGTAAGCAGAGCAAAGCATGCCTCATCACAAGAAAAAATGATTGTTTGGACCACTGTACCTTTAATAACAAACTTGTTGCCGTAGAGAAAAACCAGAGACAGAGAGATTGCCTGAGCGGAAGAGATGAGCCTGGTATGGTATTTATGGAGGTGGGAAAAGGCTTTAAGGCAAGCGAGGGTTGTACAGGCTTTTCTTGTGATTTCAATGGATCGCAACACACGGGCCACCCAAAGAGCCTTTTGGGCCAACTCGAACTTAAGGTTTCCAAACCCACGTGGCATCTCCAAGCCGGTCTCTCTCCATTGCCACGTCAGCAACGACAGTAATCACAGAGAGAGAGAGCAGGGACCTTGACCATCTCTCTCAAGTTTGATGCGGATTTGCAAATTATCACATTTCTTACCAAATCTTCACCTGATATTTTCATTCATACCTAATAAATAATTCAATTAAATAATAATAATAATAATGGCATTCAATCGGAGCTTCTGACATGAATCTCTCGTCGTCCTCGTCTGCTTCTTCGTCGTCTTCGACCGGTTCGTGGTTCTCCGGCGTGGTCCGCGGCCGGTCGGACCGGTCCGGGTCCGTCAAGATGGGCTCGGATTCTGTCTCCGGCGGTTCCGGTGACTTTTCTGGTCCCGTTGTACGGAAGAACCAGTTCCGAGGCGTGCTCTTCAAGTACGGCCCAAAGCCTATTCAGGTATGTCAGTCTGGAATTCTATGTTCTTGTTTCCGGATTGTGCTGCATTTAATTCAAATTTTAGTGGGTCGTGGAGTTTTGAGAGCTCGATCTCTGGTTGGAAGTTGGAGTTTTTGAAAGAATTGGGGTGAGTGATGCCATTTTGTTATTGAAAACTGCCATTTTTAACTTCTAGGTAGTCTGAATTATGTTGAAAGGGTACTTTTAAGATTTGAATTTGGTGGGTAAAATTTTTTTTGAGCAGTTTCCGATTACCGAGATTGGGATTTGAGGTGAAAGGCAGGAACTTTGGTGAAAAAGGTTCAGATGGGTTTGGTAACATGCAAAGTATATGTGAAGTAGTTCACTGGCGGCTATGAGAGATCGGCATTTCGAGAACGATAGTATTTTCAAAATTTCAATTGCCAGTCAAAAAACGCAATTTTTATGCATTAGCTAGTCTGAATTATGTTAGTGGGGGTGGCTTTTAGATTTGAATGTGGTGAGTAAAATTAAAACTGCCAATTACTGAGATTAGGATTTGAGGTGAAAGGCTGGAACTTGGTTGAGAAGGTTAATTTAGGCTTTGGTAACTTGCAAATTATATGTGAAGTAGTTCAGTGGCTGGCAGCTATGAGCGAACAGCATTTCAAGAATGATAGGGTTTTCAAGATTTCAATTGTTTCGGTGGTCTTGCTTTTGGAAACAAAGAGAAGTTACCTAGACCTGCTGTTGGAAAGTTCAGTTGTGTCTACGCTGTAGACTCTACCTATTCTTTAATTCATACCTTTTGGTTTCAGTGGTTTGGTTTCGGTTGGGCACGTTTTGTACAGTTAAATATAGAAACTAAATTTGAGTATAAAATGCTCATAGGATTAGGTAAATTGGATTTTACGATTAAGGCTAACATTCAAACAAAGAAAAGTTACTCCCTTAGTATGGGCTTAATTCAACCAGACTACACTACGGATATCTTTTCCCTTTTTGCAGTGCATGACTTATTTAAGTTATTTTGTTCTGGAAAATCATCCATTTTGATTTAATTGCTGTTTGTTATTGTTGTCTAGTGTAGTTCAGTTACTATGCTCACTTTTAGGACTCTATCCTCCATGCTTATACGTTAATTTTCTTGATGACATGTTATGTTAATGATAATTATCCTTACCATGCAGGTTGCGTTTAAAACAGGTGATTATAGACAACAAGTCATTTTTATTGGTGGACTGACTGATGGTTTTCTGGCAACAGAGTATGTTACATTGCTTGTGAACTTCTTTTCTTTTTGTAGTGACATTTTGTCTCCCATCTCCCATCCCAATGTTTGTTTGTGTGACTAGATTACATCTTATGCATGATTTTCATTCAGAGTGATTTTCTTAATTTAATAAAGGGATATTCACTCTACAATGATGCTGGGTACTTAAAGCAAATTTTAAAAATGTTTTATTCCTATTATATCTTTCTTTTATCTGGTGTACAGTTACTTGGAACCTCTTGCAATTGCTTTGGACAAGGAGAAATGGTCACTTGTTCAGCCACTCTTGTCATCTTCATACAGTGGATATGGCACTTCAAGCTTGCAACAAGTAACTTATTTTTAACCTGTCACATTCGTATTCTTTATAGGTCTTGATTAATCCACTGCTTCCTATGTTGTTATGTACAGTAGGGGAAACAATATATTCTTGTAAGTTGCAAGACAGTTAGGGTTCAGTTGTATTGTATCTATATTTGTTTAAGGATCCATGGTGACTGGTCTGGACCTTTTCATCAAGATTTATGAGACTATTATTCATGTTTGATCTTTGTGTTTTAATTGGACTAAGTTGGGCTGAAATTGGGCTTTGATTACTTCTTTAAAATACACATATGTACAGATATTTTATCGTTCTCTGGTTTTGGGGTTTGGGCATTGAGTTACAAAATATTGGTGCTTTTACTTATAAATACCATTGCCTTTTGTATTGAAGGATGCAATGGAACTTGATCAGCTGATCAGTCACTTTATAAACAAAGAAGATTCTGAGGGTGTGGTACTGCTTGGCCATAGTACTGGCTGTCAGGTTTGTGTTGATTGCATCTTAGACATGAACTTCTGAGGGTGTGATACCATTGCACTCATCATTATCACTTTTTGGGGCTTATAGTTACAATTCCATGTTTTTGGTTATGACTCTAGGATATTGTACATTACATGCGCACAAATGCTGCATGCTCCCGAGCGGTCCGTGCTGCCATTCTGCAGGTAGTACCCTTTCCATACTTTGAAGTTTTAAATTTATATTGATATGAAAATTTGAATGCGAATAAATTCAAGATGCTAAAGCACTTCATTCGTAATTAATGCGTTAAAGATTATCATCTTGTCATTTGGGTGTAAAGTTGGCTTCCCTTCTTTTCTGCGCTTACTGGTTGATTCCATCAATTGATTGATTATAAGTTGTGGTTGATTGAAAATATGCTGGTAGAGAGATTTGCACTCAAAACTAAGATATTTTCATAAAATAAATGTCTTTTCTTTTCTAACTCGTAGTATGCGTACATCATGTTAAGCTATCGTTCATTTGTTGTCTGATGATTGATGTGAAAGTTCTTCTTCTTGCTTACGGAGGCATCTTTTACCCTTGTTGGCTATATGCACCTTTACTTGAATCTTTGGTGGTAATGCCAACTAAAATGTTCAGGCTCCAGTCAGTGATCGGGAATACAGAGCAACTCTTCCCGAAACAGCTGCTATGATTGACTTGGCTTCAACCATGATTAGTGAAGGCCGTGGGTTGGAGTTATTGCCAAGTGAAGCAGATCCAGGAGCCCCAATAACTGCCTATCGGTGAGTATACACCCATATTATCATTATCTGAAGTAATAAATATGAAATTGAATTATTTATTACCAGTTTTTGGGATAATATTTATTTGGAAGGAATTGGTTTTAAAATGCAAAGAGGTGCACAAGAGGTTCGGCTGGTCTGGATCTGGCACGAGCCCGATCTAATTATATAGAGATGTACAATGTATCTGTTGCACCATGACGCTAAGAAATTGTCTTGCTACTCAGCCACCGAGTTCCATATTGTCTTTCTTTGCTGCGATTTTTCATTGTCTAAAGAACAAATTGCCTTGCAGGTATCACTCTCTTTGTGCATACAATGGGGATGATGACTTGTTTAGTTCTGACCTTACTGACGACCAGCTGAGGTTGAGACTTGGGCACATGGCTAACACACCTTGCCAGGTCCTTATTTAATTTTCTTATTTGCAAGAAATAGTGTTTGTAATGTATCTTAATTTGATTTAAAGTATTTTGGGCGAGATGTTAACAACTTGAGCAGAGGAAGTAAATAAAAGAATTTCAGAATAAGACTATTACTATATTTTCAGCCAGGCAAGTTCATAATAACACAACTCTTTTAGAGGGGAAAAAAGAAAAAAAGATAGAAAACAGGAAGACAAAGGTATAGAAATATTGCTCAAGGATTCAGCTCAGTAAAAATGGTCAATACATTAAGCGCCTCTTGGTGACAAGCATGCGTTTTGTTTACCTTTTACAAGAAGGATGTTGCTTTCTGGTTTAGTGAATGGCAATATCAATGAGTACAAATTAAGTCAGTCATATTTTTTATGCAGGTTATGTATTCCATGGCCGATGAATATGTGCCAGACTATGTTGACAAGAAAGCATTGGTCCAAAGGTAAGATACCGAAACTATTTTGCTTATTTTACATAAATTTCATTTTGTTTAAGAAGAAACAAAAAATAATGCCTTTAAAACAGCATGCTAATCTCTTTTCCTGTGGTGCTTGCATGTGCACACTGGAGCTGTGCATGTGTAAGGGTTTTATCTATGATGTGATTAAACAATTGTGTTGGTATTATGGATCTCATGCAGATTGTGTAAAGCAATGGGTGGTGCAGAGAAAGTTGAAATTGAATATGGTAATCACTCCCTTTCTAACAGAGTTGATGAAGCTGTCCATGCCATTATTGATTTTGTTAAGAGAGAGGGACCTAAAGGCTGGGATGATCCGTGGCATTAGTTTAGTGTGTTGCTCTATTTTCCTCCATTTTTAATTCTAAATTCTTTCGTTTTATTCCATTTATTCCCTGTCTTTAATTTTCTCAGCTTTCAGTCTTCTTCTTCTTCTTCTATATAGAAAATTTCAAGTGAATTTCGATCTTATTTTGCTCACACCGTTTGAGATTGTGTCGAACACCCTTCTTTTGTTAACTCATCGGGAAAGGAAATAGAAAAGAAAAGAAATTATTTTGCACCTTTTTTCTGGGTTTGGCATTGTGGAATCAAACTGATGATTTTGAGGTTTGGTTTCTTGTTTGAACACTTGATCTTTTCTTCATATGAGATACTTTATCATCATATTCTCCTCTCAGACTATATACTACAAACCAGAAAAGCTACATTTACATCGACCATATTTTTTCCATACACTTGAATTGAGGTCTCTGGATACATTCAAATTGCTTGTCCTATCATGTGAACATAACCTTTTGGGATTTATCTTAAGATTGAATTTGGCAGCACCATCAAAGAACTTTCATTATTCGCATAAGACAGTGCCAATAAAGCTGTTAAAAGCAGTGCCTCACGTTATAACTTGTCTTTTAGCTCTGAATTTTGGTGATTCTCTGCCTCTGCAGGGCTGGTTTTAGCTTATGTGGTAGGATTTTTGCTAAGGTGAGTCGCCACACGATTTCTAATCGTTATGTGATTTCCACCGGGATCAATTGCGTGGACGATTGACTTTAACACGACTTAACTAATAATAATGAGTATACGGGAGGGTAGGACGATGGAAGGTGGGCATGAATTTTTCTGGTAGATGTTGGGTGGGGTTGGTACAAACCATTAGTGTGCTCACAATTTCTTTGAACAATGTCAAATTCCGCAACTTCTGAATTACTTTTGTTTTTTGTGTGAATAAGTTTGAAGAAAAGTAGAAAGAAAGATCGCAACACTTTCACACTAAGACAAAGCTGTTCCTCTCAATCTTAGCAAAAAAGCCATTTAGAGCTTCACACATTGCAACATCACCTTTAACCCTTTGCCATCTTCTTTGAAAATTTGGCTGCCACCCACTTTTATTTGTAATTTGATTGAACATGTTATTCTTCCTTCATGGTCCACAACTCCTTCACAAAGCTCACACCTGGACGGTCAAAATCAAAAGAGCCTTCAGCCTTCTTCCCATTTTCTTTGCTTTTTCCACACATCCATCCTCCATGTGTTTCATGGGGCTTTTATTTCATTACTTGGCATTCCGATCTCGTGTCCGGATTTAGGCAGACGAATTTCCACCACCTATGATTACGTGTTTATTATTTATATGTCGATTTCTGTAACATTCCAATTTCCAAATATATTATTATTCTAAATACATTTAATTTAATTAATTTAAATAAAATAGCAAATTTAGCTTTTGTTGTCTAATCCAAGTACCTCCATCCAAATGGAACGTATAAAGGTTCTTAAACTGTAATTATTTTTACATGACGCATTTTGTTTTATATTTACAAATAAGCCCATTTTAGTAAATGAATGTATGTCGACAGCACAAAAAGAATAAGAATACAACCCGAAGTGCCAAGAGGCAAACTCCCCAAACTAAAAGGAACAAAAGCCAACCGAAAAAACGGCCACACGACAAAGGAACAGCCGACCAACATCACCATCAAAATAACTAAAAAAACTCAAAACAAAGAAACAAAAAATTAGCCAAATGAAAACACAAGCGAGGAGGCAACAGCACCAAAATGCAAACAAGAACCCTAAAGACAAGCTGCTTAGCAGTTAAACAAAACCATCGGGGCACCCAAAGAGAGCCGAGCCAGAAAATCCAATACCAATAATATATATATATCAAGGCAGGAAGCTGTTTCCGCAAAGCAAATGCAAATTGCAGGGAGGAGAGGTTATATTTCAATCTGATATTCTTCTTGTTCATCATCATCATCATCATCATCACGATCTTCAGAACCACAGAGGGAGGAATCTGGGCCACATGATCAGGTGATTGATTAAGTTTTATTATTATTAATTCTCACGTACCTAGCTAGCTGCATGCGTGTGTTAATTATTGGTAATTAGTGTGCCCTTCTTCCCCCTACGTAAAAATATCAATTGTTGTTGCTTGCTCCAAGTGGGGGGTTTCTGTTAGATAATATCACAAATGTTCTTAATTTGTTTACTATTTAAGTGGGGGGGGGTTAAGTCAAATTTACTATTTGCTAAAATAGGCCCTTGTAACTCAAATAACGTAGACGATAACTCACCAATAATACAACGTTTAAGTAAAATTCAATTCTAAAATTGGATGACAATGTGTCTATGTAAGTTGATTTATTTACAAATCATGCCACTAGATCTTTATTTGGTGGCTGATTGTTTTTCATCCCCTAATTTTATGCAAATGAATAACACATCTCACTACACATTTATGTTTGCACTCCTGTAATAATTGCTTACAATCAAATTAGTTCAAATACTCCCTCCTAACCTCCTAAATGAATGTTTTTATACCTACACCCTCCAATTATATATATTTACTTAATATCCTTCAATATATAATATATTCTAATAGGTACAATGCCATAGGAAATAAAAAAAGTATGTTAATTAGATGATATTATGTACGTTAACATTTTCATGCCTACATACATTACATCATATGACTAATACGAGAAAATGATAGATAAATTATTGTCCATAAAATATAATAGGTAGATTATTGTCCATAAAATATAATAGGTAGATTATTACTCATAAAAGATAATAGGTAAATTACTGTCTATAAAAGATAATAGGTAGATTATTATCCATAAAAATAATAGGTATATTATCATTCATAAAATAAAAAGAACATAAATAAATTTTCTATTTAAATAAATCACATAATAGGTACATTATTATTTTTAAAAAAATTAAAAATAATAGGTACATTAAAAAATAATAATAATCTACCTAATATTTTATGGATGAAATTAATAGGTACAGTAATAGGTAAATTATTGTACCTATTAAAAATAATCGATTGATTATTATCCATGAAAAACTAGGTACAATAAAACTTTAATAGGTATATTATCATTCATAAAAGAGAAATAAACTATACATAAATTTTGTATTTAAATAAATAAGTCATGAAATAGGTTTATTATTATTATATTTAAAAAAAAGGTAGATTATTATCCATGACAAAATAGATACAGTAAATCGATCCTGAGACACTTTTATTGAACCAAAAACCAAGAGCATGTGTAGAAAGAAAAAGATGGAATAAAATTTCAAAAAGGCAAGAAAATAAGGAAAACTAAGCATTTCCTGCCAACTCATTGTTGACTATATTTAGTAAGTAATTTTAATAATAAAACGTTGCATACAAAACTTCTTAAGGGAATCACCATAATAAATTGGGGAACGGAAAATTATAACACCACTTCATTACACATTGAATTGTAAATAGGGGTATTTTGGGAATCAAAAAATTATAATAAATCAAATATTAAGCTTAATAAGGTAACTTAATAAGTTGGATCCTAGTCATAGGTTTTTACTTATAAAAATTGAGTATTATTTATAGGAACAAAAAGTGAAGGATTGTAGGTAACGCAAATTAAATTAGAAAAGTGTAAGTCAAATTTACTATTTAATTAATGTGATTATAGATATGCCACGACATAATAATAATCACGTTATGCATCAACTGACTTCACAAACTTGTTTATATGTGACAGCTTACCTAACAACTCTAACAAACTACTAACAATCACTTTATTTCACTTCAAAATCGCCTGGGTAGCGTTATCTACACTTATAAATAAGCTTTGTTTTTTTGTTTGTTTTCTCTTCTAATTATAATTTCATATTGTCTTTTGTTTCTTCAAATTTGAATACGTTCCACCTCTTAATTGTTCTTTGGTTTGTATTAGCATACGTATCATCAAAGTTTATACTAAATCATTGTTTAAGAACTTTTGATTAATTTCCAAAAAAACACTGCTCGACTTCTTACTGAGGCCTCGTTTGGGATTTGCTTTTTTTCGTCAAAAACCTGCTTCACTTTAAAGTTAAGCAGTTTAAGGTGTTTGATAAAAAAAAATATCCCGATTATTTTAAAAGCAATGGCCTTTTGACAGCAGCTTTTAAAAGCAGGCTCTGGGTTGCTTTTCAAAGCTGCTTTCAAAAGAAGCAGAGATGAACATTTAATGAATTTTTTTAATTCCCAAAATACCATCATTCATTTTAAAAAATGACACCACCTCCACTTCCACATCCAACTCCACCACTTGCAGCACCACATTCACTACCTCTTCAACCACTGCCACCACCACCACCACCACATCCTCCTCCTCATCATCCTCCACCACCACCTCCTCCTTCACCTCCATAACCACCACCACCTCCTCCACCAGCTCCTCCTTCACCTCCACCTCCACCTCCATAACCACCACCACCACCACCACCTCCTCCACCAGCTCCTCCTTCACCTCCACCTCCACCTCCATAACCACCACCACCACCACCACCACATCCTCCTCCTCCTCATCCTCCGCCACCACCACCTCATCCACCACCACCTCCACAACCAACACCACCACCACCACCACCTCCACCTTCATCACCACCACCACCTCCACTCCATCACTATAACTACCACCACATGATTAGTACGTTAAATTTTTAACATCATGTCTATTTTAGTCATTATTCAAAGTTACAACAATTTTATATTAAAATTTACCAAACGTTTTTTACACTGCTTTTTGTACTAGCAGCACTTTAAAAATATTGTTTACCAAACATGGAGCTGCTTTACTTTACAACTAATTATTTTCAAAGCATAGCAAAAACAACTTTTTTTAAAAGTGACAGCAATCTCAAACTAGGCCTGAGTCATTCTTCATTACATCATATACTGCAGTGACTTGTTCAAAATACGAAAAATAAATTTATGTATATATGTCAAACTATAAATTATTTGTCGAAGAAAATACGTACTTCTTGAATCTAGGCGACCAAGTATTTTCCTTTTATAGTCATAGTCACATATAGCGTTGTTTTTAAAACCTTAAAATATCTATCTTATAATGGAAAAACAATCTAATATAGTGGAAAAACAACAATTTAGTTATAAACAAACAATTGATTTTTGTTTTTGACGTGTAAATCCACCGGAGTGTTTTTTTTTCTCTCTTTGCTTAATGGGTCGGTTTATCGGGTTTGGCCTTTTCTGCGTCCGACAATCACTCAATCATCTACACGTGATTCCAGGTGGCACGACATCCCAAACCACCGTCACCATGCACAATCAATTTCATAAATGCATCAAAATGACATAAACACCCCTTTCCCAACCCACGCCGACGATTGGTTTGGGATATTGATGTGGATGCTGATGGTGGAATCACTGT